CCAATGGGTTGAAGAACTTAATATTGACCTTAGAATATGCTCTAAAACCCATTTCATATGGCCAGTGCAACAATTTTAATCAAAATCTGAGATGTAGTGGTTAATTAAAAAAAAAATAATTCTGGTGATCTGCCATGGAACAACCCCATTGAAGAAGATAACAGCAGTTACCCAGAACTTGTTGCTGGTGGGAAAGGGCTCACTGTATGGCCCATATTCAAGGGCTCCACCCCACCACTCTGTTCTCTGCCATTTGGGTCTCGAGGGCAGCAAGGCCCTTTGGACCTTGTTGGATTTTGCCCCATTATTGCTGGTTGAGAAGGGGCCCCCATAATCATTCAAGCTTCAGGGTCCCAAAAATGTTGGTCCGCCACTGGTAGTACTTTCTTCTTGTTGGCATTAAGCTTCAGTTTATTAGCCCACATGCACTCCAAAACTGCCTCTAGGCACTGGTTCAGGGTTTCTGCAGCCTCCCTGGAATTGATTGGAAGTGTGAGATAGAGCTGAATGTCATCTGTGTATTGGTGACAGCCCAGCCCAAATCTCTGGATGACCTCTTCCTAGTGGATTTATGTAGATCAGGGGTGTCAAACATAAGGTGCATCCAGGGCTGTTATGCAGCCCGCGAGCAACTGGTGCAAAGGAGGGAACAGGAGACTGCTCAGGGGTGGGTGGGTGGAGCCACTTCAGTTGTGGAGTCTGCAGCAGTCAAGCAGAACTCCTTCTACTTCAGGGGCAGCCTCTCTGGTAAGTTGGGAGCCACTGCAGCTACATTCATACCTCTTCACTTGGCATGCAGCTCTGAGGATGCTGTCTTGGATGGCCTCAGGGATCAGCATTTGCACGTGGGGTGTGTGTGTAGATGATCCTCTGTTGGGACATGGAAGCATCTGCCCAGCACTGCACTGCTGGGTCTCCAGTCTGCCCATGTAGGTTTTCCTTTGCACCCCCCTTCCAGCTCATGGGGCCTTGCAGTGAGGACACACCAACTCAGAGCTTACCAGTTGCTCTCCTATATAAAGTTTATATCTCCGGTACCTAGCATTACATTTTATAACATACATGGCCCGGCCCAACAAAGTGACATTTATGTCAGATCTGGCCCTCATGACAAATGAGTTCAACACCTCTGATGTAGATGTTGAAGAGCATAGGGAATCAGATTTATTTATTTATTTTTATTTAATTAGACTTTTATACCGCTATTCCCATGAGTGGGCTCAGAGTGAGTCACAACATAGCTTTATAAAACATATAAAATCCAGTTAAACAGTCTAAAATACAAATCTACAGATTAAATTAAAAAACCCTACATGGCACCATAATCCAATTCTGGTCCCCCAATTTATCTTAGCAATGGAGGGAGGGGGATGGAAGCAGGTAGTGGAACAGATAGTTGTTAGAGCTGTTAACCATTAAAATTGTTGCTGTCCTCAACTACATGCTTGGCGGAACATATCTGCCTTGCAGGCCTTGCAAAATTGTAACAGATCCCACAGGGCCCTGATGCTAGTAGGCAGAGAGTACTACCAAGTCGAACCCTTCTTGGGCCAGGGACTTCTAGTTGATGTTGGTCACTTGAGTGTAGTGCTCTCTGGGGACATACCAGTAGAGGCAGTCCTACAGGTATGTTGGTCCCTGACCGTTTAGGGCTTTAAAGGTCAAGACCGAGACCTTGAACCTGACCCAGTACTGAACTTGTCGCCAGTGCAGCTGGCAAAGCACAGGTTGTATGTGTGCAGTTGTCAGAACCTTGTGGGACCCCATAGGCCAAGGGGCTGAGCAGCAGGCCCCCAACACCACCTTCTGAAATTACCCTTCAGGTAGCATCAGAACCACCACAGAGCAGTGCCTCCCAGCCCAGATGGATGCTCCAAAAGGATACCAAGATCAGTGGTATCAAAAGCCATTGAGAGGTCCAGGAGAATCAACAGAGTTATAGTCCTCTTGTCCATCTCCCTTCTCAAATCGTCGACCAGGGCAATCAAGGCAGTTTCAGTCCCTTAACCAGGCATAAACCCAGGAAACCCAGGCTAAACAATTTGCCTCATCTAGTAAAGCTTGGAGTTGTCCATCCACCAACTCTTCAATCACCTTGCTCAAGAATGGAACATTTGAGAGTAGTTGATTGCATCTGTTCTGTAGTAACTACATTGATTACCAACTAATCTCCAGAATGGAGCGATTGCATCTATTCTATAGTAACTACATTTGTTACCTACTAATTTCTGGGTTCAGTTAAAGGGATAGAAATTTCTTATAAAGCATGGGACACACAGTGGTTGAGGCGAAGGGTGTCTCATCATTCTGGCCTCCCCCACTCCACCACTACCTCCAGCTTAGTTTATTCAATGAATGGTCGGGGTGTTTGCCCACTGCCCTTTTTTAATCTGGGTCATTTTATAGACCTATGAGCTGTCTTGGTATGTTAAATGATTGAACTGCAGAATGTTTTTAAAATTATTTTATGTGTATTTTTAATCTGGTATGAGCCGCCATGAGCCCTGTGCGCAGGGAAGGGCAGGATAACAATCCAAACAATAAATAAATAAATAAATAAAAGCAGGGATGCCTCTCCCAGTATGCTTTGCGGTAACAGCTTTGGTCATCGACTGAGCAAGGCCTTTTAAAGGAGTTGCCCTGCAAATGGGTATGATCAACACCTGAGCATTTTCTGTTATGGTCCCCACCTTGTGGAACGGCCATCTGACAAAGGAAGCTACACGACCATAATTGCACAGCATGAGCTAAATGGAATTGTTCAGGAGGGCATAAAGGAACAATTGTGTCATTGTAATATTTCTGGATTTTAAGGCAGCTTTTACTGTGGTATTATTTTTTATTGCTGTATTGTTGTTTAGTTTTTATATTCCTCATTGTCTGTCTGAGAAAGGTGTCATATTAAATGACATAAATAAATACAGTGTGTTAAGATCCGAGTCCCTGAACCCATGGCAACTGTTTATTTTCCCAAGAGGGGACAGTCAAAAAAGCGGGAATTTGGGTTCAGTGGGAAAACCAGACTATTTGGGCCTCCCTGCCAAAGCGATCTGATGGATGTGCATCATGAAACCTGATCAGGGAGAGGAGGCAGGGTTCTGTGCAAGAGGGCCTCATCTGCAAAGAGCCGAGCATCTTATCAACTAGGGCAGGATTCCTAACTCTGTACGGGCAGAACAAAGTTTGAGTCCAGTAGCACTTTTAAGACCAACAAAGTTTTATTCAAGGCATGAGCTTTCTTGTGCACGCACACCTAGACTGAAGAAGTGTGCCTACACATGAAAGCTCATACCTTGAATAAAATGTTGTTGGTCTTAAAGGTGCCACTGAACTCCAACTTTGTTTTACTGCTTCAGACCAACAGGGCTACCCACCTGGATCTGTCTGGATGGGGAGGTTGTCACCTAAGTGAGCAGAAGTTTTAAAAGGTGAAATCTTACTCTGTTCTTTGTTCAAACACTTTGCCAAGATGTTGTGATCCGGGGGACTCTGTCAGGAGAACAGTAAGGAGATTGGAGATGTGTTTGCTCCATCTAAGGAAACTGTCTGGTAACACAAAGTAGATTGTTGTTTTCCTTTTGATTCCTGAGATCTGTATTCTCCTGCTATGACAGCTATTTTTCATGTATGTGCTGTAGTCTCATCTTTAGTAATAAAGCTGCTTTCTTGTTAAGAATGCAGACTGTGTTTGAAATACCACCCACATGCTGAAGACTGCTCTTACATGCTAAGGACACACATGGAGGGGGGGGGAGCTAAAGTAATTGGAAGTGCCCCAAGACACTAGTTACTGGAGAGGTTGATTTTTGTGTCTTGAAGTGGTAGCAGTAAGAGAGGCCATGCTTTTTCTGCAGGCAAACACACAACATGCATGTGAGAACACATACCCAGGATGGGATTGTGACACATTATATATGGTTAAAATCAATCTGTCTGAAGAAAAAAAACCTTTTTAGGTGATGTTTGAATATGTCTCAGTAGGCACCATAGTAGAAGAAGCATTCCTTGTCCTTGATCATATGGTGCAGAATGGTTCTAAGATGGCAGTTATCTTGTACAGTATTTGTATGTGCTTTAAAAGTCTATAGTTTTAACTTGCTATCTTGCTGCCTAAGTAACAATAACATGCTTCCCATTTGATATTTTAGATACATAGTTGTTTTGTGGGCACACTCCTGTGTTGTAAAGATTTAGGAAGTAGAATAGTGTCACCCTACCTCTCACACGACAAATACTTACTACCTTTACTAGTTGTACTTCTAAAATACCCAATGCATTCTCGTCATCAGCTAATGCTAAGGCAAACTAGTTAAGGGCTTCTTGAATTGGGACAAAGCAGTGTTTCATATTTCTGTATTGATCAAATTTCATTCTTGAGAATCTGTCACCACAACTGTGCATGCATTTTGTCAAAGATGATGGCTAAATATATGGGAATAAAGTTTATACAATCATTAGTGGTTCCAAAAAGTGAATAAAGCACCATCCCTCTCTTAGCTGCTAGCTCTGGGGTTAATACACAGAAAACTAAAATGAAAATACTGGTGTACCTGTGATAGAATTGAGGCATGGAATTCATTGTCACTGGGAGTTAGTGATGTGCTACTATATAACTAGGTCAAAAAGGGTAGAGGATAGTATCAGTAATGTTTAACTCAAATTATGGACATGTTTATTTGCCTTATTTGTACCTTTCTGTTGGCTTACTAAATCAGGTAAATAGAATTAACATTACTTAAAGCAGCTACACAAATCAATCCACAATGCTAAGGGGAAAAAATCTTTTAGGAAAATGAGGGCAGACCTCATTGTTTGGGGGCATGGGGTCATTTGGAGATTTATTTGTTGGCTTTAAATTGTGATGGTTTTATTTGTGATTTGTAAGCCACCTTGAGCCACCATAGAGAGGCAAGATAAATATTTAAACACATCCATTTCCCCATTATTTACATGACCCTTTACTTGGCTTTTATAGTATGGCATCTCAAATTGTTTAAAAAATGGAAACAAAAAGACTGATTGGCAAGCCTCTCCAGCCAGCAAGACCTGCACGCCACCTTTCTTCCCAAAGTAAGTTCTTGCTCATGATTTCAGAATACTTGTTTGGAAACTGAAATATTGTGGAATGTTCATAAGAAAGCTGAGGAAACTCAAACATTAGTCAAAGCCAAAACAAAACCGATGTAATACATTTTATTAAGACCAACCAAATTAACACAAAACTGCAAACTCAAATTCTCCATCTGGGCATAAATGTCACTGTAATATTATGTTGAAAAGTTAGAGTTGTTTGTTTTCTGCGCTCTCTCTCTCTCTCTAAAAAAAAAAATACATCCCTGAAACTGAATCCTGGCAAAATATAAGTAATGCTAGTTGGGAAGGCTGAGGTTTTGATGGACACTGTGCTCCCCAGCATTGATGGGGTCCTCATGATGATCACTGACAGTTTAGAGCTATGGGGTTATTCTGGATCAGTATTAGTACTGGAGAAGCAAGTTAATGCAGCTGCAAAAAAGGCATTCTGCTAGCTTCGTTTAGCCTGGAAGATGGCTCTCTAGCTTGGTTCGATTAATCTAGCCACATGGATCCACACTATGGTGACCTTGAGACTAGACTATTGTAATAGACCTCCATTAAGGGCAACTTGGAAACTCCAGTTAGTGCAGAATGTGGCAGCCCAGCTACTATTGGGCATCAGGCAGAACATATGTGTTGCACCCATTTTGTTGCAGATGCTCCATTTATCAGTTACTGGCTTAAGTGCAAAGTTCTTGTTATAACCTACAAAGCCCTAAATGGCATTGAACCTATACCCAAAGAACCACCTTTACTGCTAGGCTTTGCTGAGATAGCTTCATTCATTAAAGCATGTGAGAGATGAAATCCCAGCCTCTGCTAGGCTCTACTTTCTCCCCTCTTGCTCTGCCTTCTCTCCCCTCAACCAATTCCAACTTTTGTTTACTTTTGTTTACAGGTTTTTCAACCTTTTTTGGGCAGGGGTTAACCTGCTAGGCATATATTTTTGTTAATATAATACTTTTCTGCAGACCTGGATATTACCTACCCCCTTCCACTGCATGTTAACCACGGTTTCCCCATGCCATTCCCAAAGGCTGCTAATCCTCAATAGCTTTTGGAGATGTAGGGATTAGAAGGTAGGTATAACAGGGCTTGTGCTGTAGTTCTTTGGATCCAATCCTGTATCTTTGAATTATGCTAGCAGCTCTTGCATAATTCGATTGACATAACTGAGGGTAGAGAAGAGTTGTGTTGCTTGCTCGTCATCATTTTATTCATAGCTTTTAATTCATGCCCTTTGATTATAAATTGACTTAGAGAGTCATGCACTTCAGAAGGAATTTTACATGAATTCATGCATTAAAAGACGCTTCTCAAGTCTTCCACATGCTAGTTTGTTCCTTGATTATATGCATGTGTTTTCGGATATTCATTGTTTTGCCTCCCAACACAGAAGATCATGGAATCTGGAGCAACTCTTCAGTATCTGGAGATGCTTTAAGTTTTATAACTTCTGAAAATACTGTATAGTGTCAAATACCGAGTAGTTTTGTACTTTAGAAAGAACTTTGCTCGTGCTTTAAAACACATATTGTGTAATAGGCTTCTTCAGGTTTTTTCCTTGGAGTAGGGAAAAATTTCTCCCTCTTTTTTCACAATTCATTCAGTTTTTCCCCTTCCCCAAGCTTTGACCTGGTTCCCTTTAAATGCCTTTCCCCCTTCCATTGAAATCAATGGAGGATAGGTGCACCTTCTTGGGGGTCCAATCTTTTTGAAACTTGGGGAGTTTTTTGAGGAGAGGCACCAGCAGCTATGCTGGAAATGTGGTGCCTCTACCTCAAAAACCAGACCTGGATACCCCTGTATTGATTCCCCTTTATACCCTATGGGGACCATTGACTATAATAGTCCCCATAGGGCAGTGGTGGGGGGCCAGAGGTGGCACGCAGAGCCCTCTCTGTGGGCACGCGTGCCATTGCCCCAGCCAGGCCCAGACCATCATTAAAGTGTTGAATTCTCTGCCAAATAATTTTAAGTAAATGAAAGCATTTGGGATTGCTTTCCTTACTTTGTTTGGATCATCTTAAGTTAATGTATGAGTTTTTTTTTCCCCTAAAGTAAAACCTCAGTATTCAGGTTAAATTGCCGTGTTGGCACTTTGCGATAAATAAGTGGGTTTTGGGTCGCAGTTTGGGCACTCGGTCTCTAAAAGGCTCAACATCACTGCCATAGGGTATAATGGAGCGGGGGGGGGGGATTTCCGAAAAATCCTGAATCCAAATACTTTGCCATATTGAGATTTGGGAATATTGGAAAATACCTTTTTGTTTTGTTTTGTTTCAATATACCCGAACCTGAAAAATGCTAATGATTTTTTTTGTACACCCCTACTAGATAAGGCGCTGTTACAGTAGATCCAGAATCCAGATAGCTTTTAAAGGTTGCTTAGCGAAGTGTGGGTTACTTCCAGTTCACTAATAAAGTAGTGAACATATGTTATTGATCTTTTTTCAACAGCATCTGTTCCCCTAGTATCAGCAACTGCTTTCAGTTTCCAGGGTCAGTTTTCATCCAACACTCCTATAAGTCTGTGTAACGAAATTGGCTGGGTAAGTATTAAATAGATGAAATAAATAGTTCTGGTTTTGAGCTGCTAGGTGACAGTTGTCCACCTTTTGGGGCCAGACTACATGATCCATTTGGCCACAAGTCAGGTCAGGATTCTCCCAAAGCGACTTGTTTTTTCTGAAGTCCCCAGAACTGTTTTGGTTCAGAAAAATGGTGTGGCAGGGAAGGATGATGCCTCTTCCTTCCCAGTACATAGTCCAGATCTGAACTGGATGCTGTAGCACTTGGGGAATTAAGGGGAAATAGAGGGGAAAGCAAGTAGAATCAGGGAAACATGGCCAAACGTATTTGTTGGTCCTTATTTGCAACATGCAGTCTGTGAAATAGGTATGGTTTACCTCAAGATTGTGTGGATGCATGAAATAGGAGCTATAGAATGCTTTGGTAGATGATAGTTTTGTTAGCTGGTTATGCTGCTTAATCAGAAATAGCCCACACATTTAGTTGTGTCATCCGTCTACACTGTTACAGCTCCATAGAACTTAAGAGTACTTTATGGAATTATGGCTAAATTTTGTGGAAGGACCCATTCAAATAAGGCATAGTGACACTGCCTTTTAATCTTTTGCAAGAAATGGCATAGCCATTCAAATTGCAGGGTAGCTGATCTAAATAGGCTGATAGCACATTTCTCATTTTTGGTTAATTAACTAACTTATTCAGGCTAGTTATTCAAGTTTAAGAAATCTTATCTGCTCTGTGCCAATCCTGCTCTTCTACAAATGTCATCTTGTAAGGGCTTGAGAGTCATTAGTGATACTATGGTGAAGTAAATCAAAATATTTTCTCTTGTAGACCAGAAGATTATATTTATGTATTTGCTCATTTATACCCTACCTTGATCCATATGTGGTAGAAATGTTGAATCCATATAGTATCTCCTTCAGAAAAAGAACTCAGAAATATTTGAAAAAAATTAAATACATGCAATAATTTCTTATAAGATCCAAAGTTACTGCACTACACAAAGAACATAATACATTATATATAAGCTAGTTATATTTTATATGCTAATATTTTTAAATTAAGGAAATATAAATGCCTTGGTTTTAGTCAAACAGTAATTTTTAAAATTCCCAGTGGTTGGCTTAAGATGGAGCAGCAAGCTTCTGTACCCAGTGGTGCCTAAGCATCTCTTGGTTTGGGCCTATTGGGAAAGTAGAACAAAAATCAAGGTTTGGATTCAACCAGCTTTTCCTCTAGTGGAAATGGGAGGAGGGGGCACCCCTTTCACCACCAGAAAGGATATGCTGAGGATCATGGGACCTGCATGACAAACGACATGCAGGATGGGGGATTGGATGAGCTTGACTGAAAAAGCTGGCTGAATCCATCCTCAAGAGTTGAAAATATAAACCATCAGTAAAGTCACAGTTCACACCTAATGCCATTTATAGTTTAGCTATTTATGTCCAAGCCATGGGCTTGTGTGCTTCCTCGTGGATGTTTCTAGTTCTGGTTTCAGGATTTGCCAAGTTTAGGTGTAATTGTACATTGTGATTTCTGAAAGAGAGGGGAAAACAGAATTTATGACAACAGCATATTTCTAGTCTCTTTAGTTATGGTGTGGGGGATTACAAAGCTATGTCTGAACCAACTCTTGGAGTAAACAACAGGAAGTCTTTCTTACTGGACCTTTAGAAACAAGCTCTCAAGTTAGCATTAATCACTGTAAAATCAACACCCAGGTCGAACCCCTGGACCTAGAAGCACGAAATTTGGGGAGAGCATTCCTACCATGATGTAGATGCCCACTAAGAAGGGATTTTTAGAAATTCGACCCCTAAGGGAGTCAAAAGGAGTAAAATGTGCTCCTCCCATTTCTTATGTGGCTACCAGGCTGCTGCTTCCTTTTATCGCCCACTCTCTGATTGGTCAGCTGCAGAGCTCAGTGTTCTGAGGTTTAAACAGTTAGAGGAGACTGCAGAGAGCTAACGGCAGTTGAGGAAATCAGGAATGGCCAACCACCTGTGAGGTACAGCTGACACAGCCTCCCCGATGCCTTTAAACACAATCCTCCCTTATACAAGACAGGCGGGTGTTTGTCAGGTGCACTTCACATCATCAGTATTATAACTGGATTTACAGAACTTAAATACTGTAGCAAAACACAGGTATCAGGCTAGTTATATATAGAAACTCCTATTTTGAAAGAGTTTAGAAAATAAACATTGTTGTAACTAATGCTGGAAACCAACAATGAGTTGAATCCAGACCGCTAATAGCAGAGCTCTCCTTCGGGTGGGTTGTCTATAGGCTACTGGGGGGGAAGAGGGGGTTAGCCCCCCCCAGCAGAGCTAAATTTGTAGGAGACAGCTTCCAACCCATTTGTTTTTAGAGTGCTGAAAGTCCTTTGAGGTAAGCATTGGTTCCCTAGTGTGTTTACCTTATTTTGTTCCATTGTTTCCTTACAATAGTGCATATTGTTACATGGTTATAAGAATGAATTTTGAGGCAATAAAGCACAGTTAAAATACTGAGTTGGAAACCTTGCCTTAAAAAGCATTTCACTCTATCTTTCCATTATCTCCCACTGGAATAAAACATTCTGCCACCCCCTTCCCCCAGTTAGTAAACTGTATGTGAACCAATGATTTTTGTTGCTTTAACTGGTTGAGTAAGCATTATTGTGTGTTCTTTTGTGTAAACAATATGAAAGGAATTATGGATTCCTAGAGATGATCAGGAGGAATGTTGTCCCTTTTAAAAAATTTTAGATGTGTAAATCTAATGGAATGCGAGTCTTAAATGAAACTCTGGTTCGTCCATCAGAGCAACATAAGCCTGAAGTCCCCAAAGGTAAAATTTATGCATATAAATATTGAAAAACACTGCTTAACTATAAGAGAAATCTGTACTTCTACAATAATACTATATATTGTCTTATTGGAGCACTGCTAGGCGTACCAATCCATATGAGGATTTAATTAAGTTTAGACGCTTGCTGTCTATAATTCAGTGAGTGGGTACAGCAAACCTGCCCTGACTTGGATAGCCCAGGTTAGCCCAATCTCATGAGATCTTGGAAGCTAAGCAGGGTCAGCCCTGGCTAATATTAGGATGGGAAACCACCAATGAATACCAGGGTCTTGATGTGGAGGTAGGCAATGGCAAACACACCTCCAAACATCTCTTGCCCTACAGGGTGCCATAAGTCAGCTATGACTTGACAACACTTTTCACCACATAGCAAACCTAAAAGAAACATGTAGCTTGCGTCAGCCTGTAGCTACAATGGTGCCTCCCAGGGCCCACCTCCCTGACTTCCTCCCAAGGCCCCCCTGAATTCACAGCTTGGAGTGCAGGCACACGGCCCCCGCTTCTCCCCCCTAAGCATTTAAATTTATATGCCTTTGGGGAGAAGCAAGGTGAGGGATCTTTTAAATGCTTTGAGGGAGAAGCGGGGACTGTGTGTGAATTTCAGTCGTCCCCCAAACTTTTTAAAAGGTCTCCCATATTGAAAAATCCTGGCTACAGGCCTGCTACACAAGATTACATTCTTAATAGATTTTGAGCATGTCTTAAAAGTACTGCATGTCTTAAAATACATTGTTTTTGCTGTATCATTTTATATTGGAGAGGAGGAAAGTAGCATGGGAGTTACTTTTCAAATGGACCCTGAAAAGTATAGTATGTTTAGAAGTCCCACTACAAAAAAATTGAGAACTTCTAGGTTAGTGTCTGACTATGATAAGGAGAGATCACGTTGAAATCCACGTTCTTCCATAATGCAAGCAAACTACCTTTTTTCTTGTGCTAAAATCTTCTTAATATGTTTCAGCATGTGTTCTACAAGGAGTAGTGGGATTTAATTGCTGTCTCATTTTCCCAGCCTTCACTGAATGTGACAGTTCTTGCAGCACATGCTGATGAGTTTCACATGAACAGTCAGCAACACATTTGTGAAACCTGGCAACGTTTTCAGGTTGCTGTCTCTGAGAGTTCAGTGGTCAGTGTCAGAGTTCTTCCTTGACTGATGGTCATGTCACTGTGAGAACTGCAAAATGAGGTGGTAGAACCAGTCTTCTTGAGGTGTTAATAACAAATTCTGGTTGATTATTTTGAAAAGTCCCAGCATTTACCCAGGGACATGCAGCATATAGCAAGTCCAAGCAACAACGAAAATATGGAAGGAGCAGAAGGTAATACTGTAGTTACTTTCTTTCAGTAATGGTGAGCAATGGAAGCTCTCCAATTGGAATTCTGTCTTCTTTTTTTGTGATTTCAGCCATTACATTTGGAAGTGAACCTCTATATACCATTTTGTAACAATGTAGGTTTCAAGCGAAATAAATATACTTTGTAGTTTAAGATGTTAATTTGTCTCTGTATAATCTTGAGGGGAAATGGCTTAAAAGTTCTAATAAGCTGGTTCCTTTTTTTACATGGTTGGAATTGATAGTAGTAAATAAATGGGCATTTACTTGTGATGAAGCTCATTCAGAAAGGCACTAATGCAACTTGGCAAATGGGGTTTTCATATATTGGAGGTTAATGTGATAAACTATATCTGTTGCTTGACTTGTCCTGGTCCCTTCATAGGAATATTGGTGCTATGTGATGCTAGCCTTAAAATGATGTGAATAATTATCCAGTGCCAGGGGTCTGTAGAATTTAAAATTGCTATAGTTCAAGTAGCATCTATAGAAGTCTTTAAGAACTATTGTTCTGCCACTTGCACTTTAGCAAATCTGAATTCCATTTAACTTCCTACACAGTATACAGCTTCTGCAAGTTCTTGTTTATTTTGGTGAGTACAAGATTCATAAATTAGTTTTAAAAGTTGTTTATACATTTTTCATGGAGAAATGTCTGCATCCTGTACCATACAGCCATGTACTTCTCCATTTCTCATTTTAATTCTTTAATCTTATATTGGCAGAAAGAATAACATATAGTAGAGATTTCCTTTTGAAGCTTTCAGAGGTTTCACTTGCCCAAAAGAAACCAGAATTTCTTCCTGATCATCCTGTTGTACTTGAAAAACCAGTGAGTATTTGCATTTCAAATTGAGTTAAAGAACATAAGTGGGTTTTTACTCCATTTAGGAGCAAAGGCTGACTATTGGGACTTTTCTAGGAGAATTATTGAGTTGGATTCCAAGTGCTTCGAGGGGGGCAAAGCTTGTGGAACAAGGCTTTCCCACCTCCTGTTACAGCCCACTGAGCTACCTGAAATTCTGCTCCTAGGATTGGGAGTGCTGAAAAATGGCATGGTTTGTAGAAGTGTAGATTTGCAGTAGAAGGCTGAATGGGCAAAAATCACCCTTTCCCACTGGCAACAGAAATGCCATTCCTCCTTGCAGGGCTTGAAGCTGCACCAAGTGGCGGACCACTTTCCAAAGTGAGTACCCCATTATGTATGTGCAGATATATGTGTCCCTTGTATCATTTAGCTGGACCCTCATACATTGGATGTCTGGGAGAAGAAGAAAAAAATAATTGTGCTTCCTTATAGAACTGGTTAATTAACAGCATTAATGATCACAAAGAGGCATGGTATTGTTTTATTATCTCTTTAATTTTTAGTAAATATTAGTCTTTGTTTTCAAAGCTTGTTTTGAAATAACTCAGATACTTATCTAATTGTAATAAAAGATTGCTGATTGAAAAAAACAGAGTGCTGAATGAAGCACAGTAAAATTATTCTGTGTGTTTCTTGTTGGCAGCTCCCCTCAGCAAGTTCCATACTCCTTTTTAAATTACCTGTTTAAAGAGTAGTTGGGGGTGGGGGTATGATATGAGGGCTATCAGTTGAAAATATGGCATAGTTACTCCACCCCCACACAAGTTTTTTTTTCACCAGCTCATAGCTGTATTTCAAGAGTGCATTCTTACTGTATTAACCTCATTTTGTATAAATTATGTATACATTGTGATACAGGGCTTTCTTGTTCAGAATCAGGTGCTGATAAATAGGGCTACTGATCTCTATTTCATCATCAAAGCTTGCTGAATTATTTAATTTAATTTAAATCACTGTTAACTAAATTTTGTGGTGGAACTTTTTATCTTGCAGAAAAACTACTTACTGCCTACTGCAGGAGACGATAGGTCTGTCTGAAGATGAGGAATCTATCTTTTTTGCTACTGAAAAATTAAGGGAATATGATCTCTAATACCAATAGACTGTAATCTGATTTAGATTTAACAGTCTATGTACCCAGTAATTCATGTCAGAAGTAAAGCTATTTTCAACAGAACATATGTGAATAATTTCAGATTTTGTTTAATTTTGAACCAGTGCTTCTGAGCTTTTGTTTACAAAATTTTTCAGTTTGCTGTCAGCAGTGATAATGGACCAGTAAGCATGCTCAAGAATATGTATGTATATTAATTTATCTTGAGTGCCCTTACTAGTGAATGGCCTATTGAATACAGTGTGATTTACTTCCAAGTAAACATGCATAGGATTGCTGTCAGTAATCTTTGCCTAAATAATCCATTATATGGTTTAACTGTATACAAAAGTTTTCCAAACTCTTTCTAAACTGGAAGATGGTATAATTTTCATAGAATGGTGACTGCTCAGCAGTCACACAATCAAGCTCTGTCTCTGTAGTCTGCCTTTCTTCAAGTATTGTTGTAACAACCAGCACTCCTGTATGGTACTTACACCTTTATTTTAAATATTTATTTATCTCTATTCCTGAAGTGCTTTCAATGAAAGAAGAGGATCAGAAATGGGAGTGGGCATGGGGAAGCAGGCTTCCTTGCATTGGTTGCCCTCCAGATTTGTCCTTGCCCATGCAAAAAGGTGGTCTGCATAGTAAAATGAGACTAACATAATTAAAGCGGACAGGGCCCACAATATTCTTGATGGATAGGTGGTATCTGTATCATTCTGAACATGGTTCCAGAGTGTGGATCAAAAAAGTCTGCGTAATGGGATCATGTGCAGATGTGGAAGATTTTCTACAAGCCTGCAGAAAAATCTTAAAAGTGAAGAAAATGGTGAGGGTGTTCTAAATACTGCAGAGTTCATTTTTACAATTTCTGTTGTAATTGATTAGAAATGTGAGGTTCCGGGTACATACAACATTGGCTGGTTGCTATCTGTTGTCTGGCTGCAAACATCCACAGTAAGCTTATGAGCAGCATTGCCACTAGCCCCGTACCCAGAAAATTTTAATGGGGGTGCACCAAGGTACCCCCTGGGGAGGGTGGGGTTTGGGGAGGAGAGGGACTTCAGCCGGATATAATGCTTAGCCAGTGCCACTTGAGCCACACAAGGAGGCAGACAAATGCTTGCCTGCACCACTGGACCCCAAAAGCACCGGCCGCAGCCCATACTTACCGGTCATGGTGTGAGAGAAGGTGGGAAGGGAGTGAGTGAGCAAACAGCCACAGGAACGTCTGCCTACTTGGCTGGGAAGAAGGGAGGGAGAGAGAGAAGGAAGGAGGCTCTCACTTGTGCTCTCTGTTGCTGGCTGGCTCCCTCTCTCATTCTTGTGCCTAGGCCCCATTTGCTGATGCCACTGGGGCTAGGGGGATGCACGGCTGTTTGGGGAGGCACTGACTTCTTTGAAGGGTGCCTGATTGTTTGGGGAGGATGCCAAGCACTCGTGGGTACCCCTGTGTGTACGGGCCTGTTTGCCACATATTAATGTCATTGGTACCCACCCTTATTGACTCTTAAGTCTGTGTAAAGTAAATATGGCTATCTCTATAAAGATCTGAACACAGACCAACAAAAATTAAGTACTTTCATTGGTTTCAGTAGGCTTAAAGTAAACACCATCTTAAATTCTTGATGCTTAATTTTGCTAGATGATGCTCTTTAAAAATACTGTATCTAATTCCAATTATTTGACTATTTAGTATAGTAGTGGTTTGAATTCATTTTCTTTAGCCCAAGCTTTATTATTTTTCTTTAAAATATCTCCTATATATTAGCAGATAAAGGCATAGTATATAAAATATACCCTGTAAATGTTAATCTTTACTCCATATATGAATATTTTCATACAATTACTGTAACTTTTCATAAATAAACAAAGTGAAGCTTTCATTTGGGACTATACTGATTTTAAGCAATATTTGGATTTAATAAAGACTAAGCAACATGATCTGCAAAGTCTGTGCAAGGAAAGAAAGATGAAAAGAAGTGAAAAGCAGAAACAGGACACAGCAAAGGAATAAAATCATGAAATTTCAATGAAATTGAAAGAAAAAGTAGAAAGGGTTAAAACCATTGAGGAAGCTTGGAAACTATTTAAAACTACGATCCTAGAAGCTCAAAAAAAAATATTCCGCAGGTTAGGAAAGGCACAAACAGGTATAGGAAAAAGCCTGCATGGTTAACAAACAAAGTAATGGAAGCTGTAAAAGGTAAAAAGGATTCCTTTAAGCAGTGGAAAGCTAGTCACAGTGAGGCTGATAAAACGGAACACAGGCTATGGCAAATAAAATGCAAGTCTGTGGTCAGGCAGGCAAAAAGGGAATATGAGGAGCATATAGCAAAAAACATAAAAACCAACAATAAAACTTTCTTCAAATACATTAGAAGCAGGAAACCAGCCAGGGAGGCAGTGGGGCCCTTGGATGACCAAGGGGTAAAAGGAGTACTGAAGGATGATAGGGAAATGGCTGAGAAGCTAAATGCATTTTTTGCCTCTGTCTTCACTGTGGAAGATGAGAAGTGCTTGCCCACTCCAGAACTGCTGATTTCAGGAGGGGTGTTGAAAGACCTGAGTCAGATTGAGGTGACGAGAGAGGAGGTCCTAAAACTGATAGACAACTTAAAAACTGATAAATCACCAGGCCCAGATGGCATACATCGAGAGTTCTGAAAGAACTCAAATGTGAACTTGTGGATCTTCTTACAAAAATATGTAATCTTTCCTTAAAATCTGCCTCTATTCCTGAGGACTGGAAGGTAGTGTGGGTGCACACGAAGAAGTGTGGGTGCACACGAAAGCTTATACCTTGCATAAAACTTTGTTGGTTTTAAAGGTGCCACTGGACTCAAACTTTGTTCTGTATTAAGCTTAGCTGACTGTTCCCTGGAAGGCCAGATAATGAAACTGAAGCTCAAATACTTTGGCCACCAAATGAGAAGGGAGCACTCACTGGAGAAGACCCTGATGCTGGGAAAGATTGAAGGTCAAAGAAGACGGGGACGGCAAAGGATGAGATGGTTAGACAGTGTCATAGATGCAACGAACTTCAGAGGACGGCGGAAGACAGGAAGGCCTGACGTGATCTAGTCCATGGGGTTGCGAAGAGTCGGACTCGACTGTGCGACTGAACAACAACAAAAAGCTTGATTGAGGCAGTAAGTGATATCTGGTCATCTTTCAGAAAAATTTTAAACCCAGATGGTTTGTTATTGCAGTCTTTCATATATAATGCACACTTTAGAATTACACAGCCGTGGTCAGATTGGATTAAAACAAATTGTACTAGGCTATTGAATATAATCCTTAATGTGAATTGCCTCTGTGACGTCCTCCTTATTGGGGAGGACTAGTTTCACTTTAAAAGTTCCCTTTATTTCGTTTAATACGGTAGATTCTGCTGCCACCAGGAAATTTTAAGGATTTCCAAACCTTTATGCTTATAATGTTGCTCTTACTAGTTTGGTAGACAGAGTGTAAGGCTTACGAGGAACTATGTAGTCCTGGGAAGTATTTCATTCAGCGCTGGTATAAACTTGAATAAAAGAGGATTTATTGAAATAAACATTAAATAAGAGGGTGATACAATGTAACTAGTAATGTGTAAATGATGTACAATTGCTTTGGTATCACACTCAATCTTTTCCCTCACTGACAGGGATCTTTTCATGTAACTTTGTAACACTTGTTTATCTCAATGCCATATATGTTCACTGTTTCACTCCAGTCTGTTATGACACTCAGACTTTCCTTTAACAACTGAAACTCCTGACTGACTCACATACTCATCCAATCAGATTCACTTCCAAAACCCCTCCCCCTCTCTGTCAACCACCAATCATAACACACTTGCCTCTCTCAACCACTCTAGTCTACCACAGCCATGCAACCAAACTTTTAAAGAGACACACACAAACACACAAAAACAAGGAATCGTTACAGCCTCCCTTACATGGAAATAAGGAACAGTTCATTTCTTCCCTTGCTCTCACCATCAGAATCTTTGCTAAAGTGTTCTTAAGTTCCTCAAACTCTCAGTTGTATGACAAGTTACATTTTGATTAATTTTAACTGTTAGAAAATAGGATCTCATGTAATTACATTCTTACATTCTTCAAACTCTCAGTTGTATAACATGATGCATTTTGATAGGATCTCATGTAATTAAATTATCATGAAAATGTGATATTGTGAAACAAACTATGTATTTTAGGTAGAAGTATAAATTCCAGGAAGGTTCAACACTTCAGAATATAAGAGCAATTCAACTGCTGGCAATGTCTAGTCAATTATAGAATACTTTTCTACAAGGACTTTCATAGATGTTTTCTAGACAACAGCTGGCAGCAAAGGCTGACTTGTTCTAATACTGAGTACTTCAGTACTATGTCTGTTTCTGTTAAGTTCAGAATGGCAAAAAGGACTCGCCACTTTTTTCAATATAACTTTGACAGTAGCATTTTTATGTGACGGAAATGTTTCATCTGCACCCAAATTTATTGTGATAGTATGAACTACAACATGTTCATATTTTTGTGATAATGATAAAATGCCATCACATTCAGAGACCAGTAGTTTGTTGGAAAAGTAGATATTTCATCTTTTTTAAAAAAAGTTCAAACAAAACCTGTCAAAATCTGAATGTAGTTGTTGCTCTTTTCTCCTGACACTTTTGGGTATGCTTGTTTGGCTATTTGTACTTAAGTACCAGATTTACTTTCCTTTGAGACTTCACCAGATGGTCACTGGAAGTAATGAGGCTTTCCATCTTGGTTCCGATTCTTGATAAATGCTGCAAATGGATCTTAAATGTGTCCTTTATGTTTCTCTATGAAAATGTGAATGATTTGTGCTTGCCTACTGGAGTAGTAGGAAGTTCCGTGTTCCTTATTCCTAGGTTAATGTTTTTGCTGTGGGGCTGTGCATCAGTCTTCAGCTGACTCTT